GGTGTGGTGTGCCTCTCCGGTAACGGCTTCTCGGCTCCGCGGGGCAGGGGGTGTTCTGGGGCGCTGAAGGAGGCGGTCTCCTCTGTGAATGCATTGCCAGTATCTGCTCTATTGCATTGAGGATCTGTCACAGAATCGCAGGCTGGTAGGGGTTGGAAGGGACCTCCGGAGATCATCTACCCCCTGCCAAATCAGGTTCACCCAGAGCAGGTCGCACAGGACTGCATTTAGGTGGGTTTTGAATTTCTCCACGGAAGGAGGCTCCACAACCCCCCTGGGCAGCCTGTTCCAGTGCTCTGTCACCCTCAGAGTAAAGAAGTTTTTCTTCATGTTGAGGCGGAACTTCCTGTGCTGCAGTTTGTGCCCATCACCCCTTGTCCTGTCACTGGGCACCACTGAGAAGAGCCTGGCCCCATCCTCTTGACACCCACCCTCTAGATATTTATAAGTATTGATAAGATCCCCTCTGAGTCTTATTTCTCCAGGCTAAAGAGCCCCAGGTCTCTCAGCCTTTGCTCATAAGAGAGATGGTGGAACAAAGGCAAGCTTTATTTCCTGGGTGCAGTATGTTACATTGCTAAAACTTTCATATATTGGATATGTTGGTTCATCAGATTTTCAGGACTTGCTAGTTACCAGAAAACAATTAAGGGTATCTACCATGCTAGCTAATCCAACGTGATTTATGGTGCTCTGTATCCAAAGAATTTGAACATGAAAAAAATTGTGCATTTTCTGTTTCCTTCCTGCACAGTATTTGCTCTATCCCGGGTCCCACTTGGCAATAACTTCATCATACAAACGTTTACCTGGTACACTTGCCCATTGCTTTAATCTGAAACCCTTTTAGGTTTTCTTAGATTTTATGGTAAAGGTATATGAATTAATCTCTGCTAGCTGAGGCTGCTGAATCATTTATTGGAATATACTTTCATATAGCCTCTGTCATAATGCTTACTCTGAGTTATTTTTCGTTCTTGTAGTGCTCTAAGAGGGAGGGGAAAAAATTGTAGTAGTACATTAGCAGTTGGGCAAAATTCAGGTAATACTGTGAGAGTATATGTACTAGATTGGACATAGGTTATAACAGTGATAGAGAGCAGTCCTTATTTGAGGATAAGGTCTGCCACCCACAGTTGTGTGATGAGGTTTCTAGTCTGTGAAACTTTAGATCACAAGGCTTGCATTTTGTCTGTATCTACAGAGCTGCTTGTTGTCTGTCTTCTAGCTGCCTCGTTCACGCACTGTAATTCTAGTACACTACTTGGATAGTGACTTCTTGATGGAAAGCACTATCCCTGTTTTGTTTTAAGAAGCATTTGTTATGTTAAGCTGTCCTAAATATAGAAATAGGTGCAGACATACTGTAAAAATAGCCAAGTCAAGAGTGCACCGGTGCACTCGATGCTCAGCACACATATCTAGTGCAATAAAGCAAATTAGCTTTGGAAGCTTTCTGCACACATTCAGTGCACTAACGTAAGTCATTTGATGGTAGGTAGATTTGCACTTCTTGGAAAAGTGAAACTCCCAAACAAGAAAACTTTCCAAAAGAGAAACTTTTTGGTATTGTTGATGTTATAAGCTGTCATTGAAAGAGCACTCCAAACATCGCATCATATGGAAAATAGCTGTGAGTTGAAAAGTATTTATTAATAGGGTAAAAAGGCCCTTAACACCGTATCAAGAGCTTCCTTGCTTCATTAATCCTTGAGAAGTTTGTTTTTAATGGTCTGAAGAAGTAGTTGTCTGATTAAAGAATCTCTCTCTCACTTTTTTTCTTTTTTCTTTGAACAGTATTGTCAGAAAAGCCAACGACTTTCACAATCACTGTGACGTCTGAAGCAGGAGAAAATGATGAAAGTAAGTTGACCGTGTCTTAAAGATATATAGGAGGAGTTTCTGTGTAAGCCGAATTGTATCGCCAGCAATTAGGTGTACCTCCACTTCAGTCCGCTTAGGGGTCTGATGCAGCAAGCATTCCTCAGAAACTGTAGTTCAAGGATTCTGGTGATCTGTGTTTAGTTTACGGAAACGTTGCGCTTTCTCACTAGGGCTGCTTCCTGGCGTGCCAAATCTCACGTGCTTTGTAGCATAGCTTCAAAAGGTACGGGTTGTCCTCACCCCGGTAGGAGCTTACAGCCATGTTGTGAGGTGATTTTTTTCCTAGCAGCTGTATGTATACAGCCACCTGGGGGAGTTGAGTCTGTGTATTGTGAGCGCGCAGCCCGTAAGGAACAGTTCCAGAGCGGAGGTGTGGGCCCTGAGTCTCTGTGTGTTTGTTGGGTATCAGTGGCTGCATGGGCTTGTTGTAACCCAGCCTTGCTCCAAGTAAGTTTGAGAGCTGCTGCTCTGGCTTATTGTATCGGAAGGAAGAAACTGCTGCTGGCTCCTTCAGTTTTAAAGGAGCAAGTCCTGCTCGGAGCAGGTGTCTGTGTTGAAGAGGCTGCTGGGCTGCCAGAATCGTGAGTCTGGAACTAGAGGAAGTTGACTCCCTGGCGTTCTGGCAGGATGCATGAAAGGCACTTGATTCTCTTTTGCCTCGTTTCCGTGCCATCCTAGCTCTGGGTGGCTTCAGGTGAATGAGTTCTCCTTAGGCAGTTCTCTGCTTACTGACTTCTACTGGACATTGGGTCCTTGTTGTGTGATTTGTGTGGAGCCTTGATACCCCACACAGAGGTTGATACACCAGCCAGGCACACAGAATTTAAAGTATTAATGTGATAAGATTCTCTCTAGATCTGTTGTTAGGACTCTTCCTCATTTTCTCCAGCTTTAAGTGGAATATGAGGGAAAAGAGATTACTGCTGTAGTACCCACTGTACCACAGAAGGTTTTCCAGGCTGTTTTCTGAAGACTGTTCAGACATTAATAGCCCGTAGTAGTTTATGTAAGGGTAAACTTCATCCTTTTAATTCCTCACAACTCTTCATTATAGTTAAATCTCTTCATATAGTTTTAACATCTGTGTAAGATGACTGTTTCTTTAGGACCAGAATGTATTTTAACATCTTCAGGCTGCTAATGCAATAAAAAAATACACAGAGTTATATAAAGTTATCGTCATAAGAATATGTGGGGTCTTTTTGTCTTGTAGCTGTCCAAACAACCCTTAAATTTACGTATAGAGAAAAATATCCCGATGAAGCTCCACTTTATGAAATTGTCTCACAGGAGAATCTTGACGATAATGATGTCACGGACATAATAAAACTACTAGAACAACAGGTAAGGAAAATGGAATATCTCAATTCAGCTTGATATCACTTCACACTTTAGCCAGAAGTTCTCTCGCAAATCAGTTGTTTTCTGAGGTATGTGCTACTGATTTAAAACCCGTTCTGTACTGTAGGGTCAGACTTTGAGGTTTGAGTTTGGTACATGACATTATTGAGGTAAATTATGTTCATGAGTTAATAGGTTTAAAATGTTTTAAATAATATGTTAATGAGTTTAAATATATTATTATCTAAAACAATTCAGTGTGCACAGGTATGATAATGAAATGGAAGTGCTCTATGACTTCCCCTCCTTTGCAGTTCTTGCTTAAGGTGAATTTGTTTAACTGTGTATATAGTATTTGTGGAAATAAGCCACTTTAAGATAAAAAAATGCCACATTGATTCTTGATCCTTTTTAATTACGTAGCTATTTTGGGAGGTTGGAGATCTCTTCAAGCTTTGGGATCAGTGACAGTGCATTGTGAAGGAATGAAAAGGAAACACTTTGCTGGTTTCAGGGATTCTTGACAAGTCCTTACTGCCTTAAAATTGCCTTAATATGTTTAGTAGGCATTCTTTCTTTTCAGTTTACTTCGTAAAACCTTCCTTCCATCAACTGATGTTTTTTGTTTTTCCTGGGAAACTGTCCTGCTTCAAAGGGTCTTGTAATGGGATTAAGGAATAAGCCATTTCAGGCTCTGAGTGAGTGTTGTGTCTTATGATATTCAAATCTTGGAGCTGTACTCCTGCTGTAGGTTTTGTTTTATTCATGAAAAAGCCTTCCACGTGTCTGCGATACATCGATGACCTGAACACAGGTGTTCGTGGCTGTTGTTTTGCTGTGCACCCATTTGGGGGTAACTTTAACTGGGTTAACTGGCCCGTTGAATTTAATTTTACAGCGAGCTTTTGAGACTGGTGCAGAATGCCTCAGCTGTGTTACCTGCGTTTGCACAGCAGGCTGCTTTCTAAACATGCTTACGCATTCAGCTGCTGAAGGTTTGAGGTTCTCCTTCTGAGTGAAGTTGTCTTCTTTGTGTTGTAGGCAGAAGAAAATTTAGGGATGGTAATGATCTTCACTCTAGTCTCAGCAGTACAGGAGAAATTGAATGAAATAGTGGATCAAATAAAAACACGAAGAGAAGAGGAGAAGAAACAGAAAGAAAGAGAAGCAGAAGAAGAGGAGAAGGTATGTAAAATAATGTTTTCCAACTAAAAATTTCCTGTTTTTCTTAAATGCATATTTGATGCAGGAGCAATTCTCAGTTGCAGTGGGAGAGGATCAGCTACCCAAAGCTGATATAATTAAAACTTAAGGACTAGGAGATTCTTTAGTGCACTTAAGTGATTTCCCCCCACCCTCCCATTTTCTAAAGCGGTCTTTTCAGAGATGTATTTCATGTTCATAATCCACAGTTCTTCCTAATACAGAGGCTGGGATTTTTCCCAAATGTAATCAAAGTTGCCAGTTTTTTGCTTGAAGAGGCAAGAGGGGATGAGGAGCAGAAAAGGCTAAAAGGTGGCGTGCTGCACGCAGGCTGCATGGTCTGAGGAAGTCTTTCCTCCTTGGTAGGCTGAGTGGGTAAGGTGGAAGCAGTCGGGCCAGTCTTCAAGACTGGTTTGTCCTCCCTGCACGTGTCCTTTCTACCAGCCACTGTGGAATAATTTTTCCATTCATGGAATGTGCTGTGGTAAGTCCAACTGGTGAGTCTTCACCTTCTTCCTCAGAAATAGCTAGAGGGTGATGGGACTTGGAAGGTTCAGGATTTCTGAAAACAGCAGGGAAATAGCTGGAAAAAAAGAATCTATGCCAACAAGATGGAAAGGTTAATGTATTTTAGTGCAAAATATTTCAGTATAGATTGCACTTAAGAGTTGATAAGAAGTGCTGCCTACTTAAGGAGAACCTGTATTAGTGGCGTGTTGCTAACTGTTGCACTGTAGGTCCAGAAGTGGTACGCGGGGTTTTTCCATAAGACTTTCCACTGCAGAACAGCTCTCCGAAGGGAGAGTCCCGTGACAAAAACCAGTACGAATTTGTTCGTTGTATATTCTCAGGGTTAGGATTAATTTCTCAGAATACCTCACAGCAAGCAGTGCTTCTGGAATGTTGTAATTTAAATAATTAGAAGAATAATCATCTTCACTCGTAGCTTTGCAAGTTGTGTTTCCAGCCTTCTTTTCTGTTCTTTCAGCAACGTTTTCATGGCACTCCTGTTACCATTGAGAATTTCCTAAATTGGAAAGCAAAGTTTGATGCGGAACTCCTAGAAATAAAAAGGAAAAAAATGAAAGAAGATGAACAAGCGGGCAAAAATAAATTAAGCGGTATGATTTAAAGCTGGTCCTGAAGTTTTTGCAATGTTACCAGACTATAATGACAAGCCTAAAAGTAATTTTTACACTGACAGATGATGGTAGTAAATAAACTCTTAGTGTAGGATTTGATTATTGTCCTCCATGTTGCATGAAGCCTTTGTGAGTACTGATTTTGCGCTAAATACAAAGCTAATAGATTCAGGACTTCTGCTGAAGTCATTGACATTCCCAAACTGTCTGTTTAAGCTTCTTGGGTTTTGTGCCAGACAGTATACCACTTGGAGCTGCTACTGACAAGCATTGTTCTGGCAGAAATCGTTGGGGTTTGTTAAGCAACAGAAAGGTTCTACATCAGACAGTTTATTGATGTGGCCTTTATTGCACTGGATCGGACAGTGACTTCAGACTATTCATGTGCGTGTAGGAGTTTGGGATGCTGTTGCTGGACTGAAGCAACACAGAGGCTGACTGCTGCATATGACAAGCTTACGATGACTGGTGGGAATAGCTCTGATATTTTGGGGAAGAGCTTGTCATAGCAGTGGTTTCGGGCTCTGTGTTTTGCAGGTCACAGTTTCTCCAGCAGAAAGCAAACTCTGTATCCAGTGGGCGAAGTGGAGGAAATGGCTTTTCATATGAGAACCTGAAGGAAAGAGTTAAATCTTGGGCATCCTCCTCCACACTCTCCGTGGCTTAGCTTTGGACTGGTTCTCCTGTGATGTTGGATCTGCTTTTGAACCTGATTACCTGAGAAAACATGACCAGTGTGATTGTGCTGTATCACTGTTATCTTTTCTCTTCCCTTCTGAAGGATTTTGAAACTTTGGCTAGTGTTGAAATATGGCAGAGAGATGGAAATTTTAATTGTAGTAAGTTTCACGAAGGGTGGGGCACATGCTTAATTCCCCTCTGAAGGGAATGCATTTCGGAATCTGCAAAGATGAGATAGTAGAAATCAGGCTGCTTCTAGTTTTCCTGTTCTTGAAATTATTGCTGGCATGCTGTGTCTGTTTTCCCCTATACAAGTCTAGTTTGTAGAAGCTCACCTCTACAAAACTAAAACCAGGCTTATTCTCAGAAGCCATGAGTGTAACTCCAGTAGAAGTAAAAGGTGTCGTAAATGTTTTACCATGAACACCAACCAGTCTTGTTGGCAGAAGCTTGCATAAGCAATGCAAATATCGATGGAAGATGGGTAGTTTATGTGGAAGGAGTCCTGGGCCTTTCTTCCCCTACCTCCCAGTTGGAAAGTCTTCGCTTTGCCTTTTGTGATGTTTGCTTCACAGATGTGTGTGTGTAGGAGCTGCTGATTTGTGTGTAGATCCAGGTTGCTCTTTGAATGAGGAGGATATATGGAAAAGGATGGAGGAGGCAGCTAATTTCCATTCCAGTTGCCACAGAGGTTTTCTTGTGGAATGCAAGAGAAGGGCTAAAACAACTGGGACAGTACGGTGTAAATTTCCCACCCGCCATTATTAAAGCCTTAGTAACATTAAAGTGACTGTAAGAAACAGTGACCCATTTCACATATAAGAGCAGGAAGCCTGTTGGCATGGAAGAATCCTGGATGAATAGTCAAAAAATCAGAATGGGAAACTTACAGAAATGAGCAGCTTAAAAACAACAAAAAGACTGCTTAAATTGGTTAATTTGAAAAGCCTAAAATACACCTGCTAACTATTGTTGCCTTAGGTTGATAGTTATTTCCAAATTCTAATTGTTTATATATTATTGTTTATTTTATTTTATTTCTAGGTAAACAGCTGTTTGAAATGGATCACAACCTTGACACTTCTGACATCCAGTTCTTGGAGGAAGGTAAATTTCTGTTTGTTTCCACAACTGAAAGACAATGGCTTAAAATATGTCAAAATTCCTGAGCAAAATCTGTATTATATTTATGACTTCACATCTTGCCTCACAATCGCTTTTACAGCAGAAGAACTTTCTAAGAAATACTGTTTTTCAGATTGATCAGAAGTGATTTTAACTTCTTTCAAAACCAAACAAAACACTTTCAAGATGCTAAAGCGTATTTATTTGCAGTTGCCTCTATTCTGTTATTTCTGTTGCCTCTATTCAAGTATTTGGACTGGAAGCAAAACCAGAAACAAGAAAAGCAAAGCAAAACAAAAAAAAGTCACAACTAAACACTACTTTTTCTTTTTTTTTCTAATAGCCAGACTTCTTACCCCTGATTTCGAGCACAGATTTCGGAAGTTCTATCTGCTCCTCCCCAATCCTCAGCACCAATAATAAATATCTTGCAGGTCAAGTTAAATCCTGTTTGCCTCTGTGCAACCCAGTTCTTCTTTGTGGTTTTGTGCAGATTTGACTGTTATCTTACTGAAAGTACATGACCTGGTGCCAGCTGAAAATTTTGTAAGCCTGCGCCAAAAGAGGTTAAACTTGGAAAATCTGTTGGAGATAAATGAAATAAATCTACTCACAGTCACATATCTATTTAATTTTCTGCACTGCTTGTTAGTATCGTAGTTTAAAAGACTGATCTTTGAGTTAAGACAATTCTTTAATGTAGCTGCATTATCTCCCGCTATTGCAAAACACACATGCAGAGGAGAATCAAGAATTTTCTCTGCAAGTAACAATTTAAAACCAAAAAAAGTTGTTTATGAACATCAGTGAGTATAAACCTGAAATGGCAGTAATGGGGGAGTTGAGTTTCTTTTAGTTAGAGGGCATAATTTAACCTTGTCTTCCTCCAAAACGCCTAAAGTGAAGATGGGTTGTTGATGGAATATTTGGCTGTCTCAAGGAAGGAGCAGACCTCTGTATTTGGGCTCTGTGCCCAAATGACTTGGGATTAATATAATAACTTTTAATCCTGTTGCTATCAGTGCTGAAAAACTCCCGTTCTAATTGCTGTTTGCATTCTGTAATAAATGCAACAGGTTACTAACTGCCATTTAGTATTACAATACTGTGTAATAAGTCATTTTCACAACTTAAACAGGATAATGGCATTATCTTTTAGATGGAAATGGTTATAAAGACTTTCAAATCCAGTGAAAGAACAGAACCTTATTCAGTGGCCGGAAGGTGTCGCCATTGATGCACACAAATAAAATAGCAGTAGTCCTCAAGTTTTGTCCGTAAATCGGCATCACCTCTTTCAGAAGAAAATGTGAAAGCATGCAGAGCTTCATCTTGCTTTTAAAATTAAATTTTAAAGCAAGTGTATGTAGGTATGTAGGCATATAAATGGTGTGTAAGGGTTATTTTATAAACCATAGGTGTTCCTGTGGCTATGGTAGGACCTTACAGCTGGAATAAACTGAGCTCCTATTTTGACCGTACCTGGGAGAAAGGATCTCTGCTTCTGGGAACTATAAATGTTAATTTAATTCTCTTAATGGATTCTGAGGTCCTGTGCGACATTTCTCTTGGCTGGGTTTTGGTACAAGGTAAAAAACCTTTGCTTTAGGTCTCAGAAGATAAAATGCGGTGTTTCCTTTTCCATATCTATTTAATATATAAAAAGCCAAGTTAACAGCTACCTACATTGAAGAATGAGTATGAAAAAGTGTTGTGTATTTTGTTGTTCAGCTACTGTTTACCTACTTGCGTTAAAATAATTATTTTTCTGTTCTTTGCAGCTGGAAACAGCGTGGAGGTTGATGAATCTTTATTCCAAGAAATGGATGATTTAGAGTTGGAGGATGAAGACGATGACCCTGACTACAACCCTGTTAATTTAGATAGCGATTAGACTTTTTTGAACTGTCATCAATATGGACATGTGCAAGGGGAGAGGAGCAGGCGGGAAAGCCACAGCATCTGTGGTTTTAGTAATGTGTATTGGTTTTCTTTTTTCCCCCCTTTTTTTCCAAAGAAAAAAACCAAAATATTTTAAATCCAGGAGAATGGTCTTCTGATGGCTTTCATCATAAATAAATTTACTTTAATATTTCAAATGAAAAATTTGAGGAATATTGATCTGTCTGAAAATGCTATTCTATTTTCTCTTATTTTTGCTTCCCATTTCTGTAATTGTCCTTTGAAGGGATGTGACAATGAGCAAGATGGAAAGATGTTACAGCAAGTGCTAAGCACACCTGCACCTGAAGGCTGAGCAGCTGTTCCGCTGTCTTCCACCTGGGATATACATGGGCAGCTTTGGTGAATAAAAGGGATCGCTTACGATGCAGGTTTTTGGGTTTGGTTTTGTTCGGGTTTGGTTTTTTTTTTTTTTTCCTTCTGTGGAATTTCATAACACTTCAGATCAGTTCTGGTGCCCCAGCCTATCAGCTGTAGATAGGCAGCACTAGTCACCTTTTAGTAAGTCATCGCCTTACTGAAGTTTAAACTTTAATGGAAACATTTTCATGGTACTGGAGTAAAATCTTTTGCTGTAGTTGGAGATAATAGTTTCAAAATGACTAGTCTGCAAGAAAAAAATCAGAATGAGATGAAGTCGCCTTAAAAAGTTTGGTGGATTTGTTCAGAGAGGGGGGTTTTTGTTTGGGTTTTTTTTGTTTGTTTTATTTAACTTGTGCACCAGTGAGTTCCATGGGAAACACCCCGCCCCCCCGGCAACACCCTAGGAAAATTAGTTTGCTTTTGGCAACAGATTACATAGAAACACGATCAGTGGAGTGCAGATTACAGTACCAGGATTTATGGAATACTTCTAGATTTGAATGTAATGGGTGTTGTTTTAGAAGCACCTTGTTGGCAGCCTGTGAAGGGTAGCACAACGTACAGTGAAGCTACACATCAGCTTGTGGATGTTAACCATCCTGCAGAGCTGCTTATGGAGCAAACAGCTTGATGTTAGACTCCTCCTTCCCTCCCACCTCCAAAAAAAACCAAACCACTGCGAGAACCGTGATGTTTAAACATGCTGTGTTTGAGACTGCTTCAGCTGGAAGGATAACGGTGTGGATGAAGGTTTCAAAAGACAGCTCTCCAAATAGAGGACCAGTAGTCACCTCAATGATGAAACACTGTGTGCTGAATTTTAAAATACTGTTAGTAAACTGCCTTAACTGCGCCAGCTTCAACCTTTGAAGAGGGTTGCACTGAACTCTCACAGTGCTTAGAGGAATAATAAATTAATATTTGGAAATTCTGTATTCAAAATGAGAAATTTAATTCTGGAAATAATTTAGTGGTGTATAAGGTTCTCTCCTATATTGCTCAAGAGCATCTGTTTAGGATGATCTCCTTTGACATGTTTCAGTAGTCTTTTCTTTTTGTATTCAAGATGAATGAGTTTCTAGTAGATAGAAATAAATATTCAAGTACCCTGTAAATACTTTTATAACTTAACCATGTGCCTTTGTTCCTACTGTCCTCTATTTGATCTTTTTAATTTTGGCTACTAAGAACTTTTAGACAAGCGACTGCATTTCAATGGTAATGTTGTATGTTTCAAAGCAATAAGCTGGATCTGTGTTCCACCAGAGTTACCAAATGTATTAAAAAATTGTGAGCTAATGTGATACTAAACCTGACTTTTCCAAAGATACGTTTGGATTGAAAGCTTCATATTGACTACATCCGGCTTCCCATATAATTGCTAGGATGCTGTAAAATGCTCTTCATCACCGAACTTATTTCTGGTGTGTCTCAATTCGGCTGCATAAAAAACATTTTAACTCCTAAGGCTGCTTTCCAGTTTCAGCTATATATGTTTAAAACTGGCATTTTTTTAATAAAAGGAGTGAATTAGTTCTCTTTAAATCTGGACTGACTCCAAGAATGCAGTGTAGTCTGTGCAAAATGTGGTAATCTGAGAAATTTTTCCAAGTGGGTCACTAACAAGAATCGTCTATATATGAAAAAGGTTCCTCGATTAATGAGATTTTCTGGTCTGTTTTCATGCTGACATTTTTATTGGTTTTCATACAGAGGATGTATAGCTTAAAAATGTTAAAACAATGTCAAGTTAAAATGTCAAAATGGTTTTCACTGTTACGTCTTATAAAAAAGCAGAGGAAATAATAAGGGTTGAAGTGACAAAAAAAATTGCTTTAAGTCTGTTCCTCCAAGTCTTTGGAACAAGATTCAGTGACTCAATCTGAACTTCAGATTTGTTTTGTTTTGTTAGCAATTAACATCTGTGAAATAAAAGGGAATTTGACCGAGAGTAAACTCTGCTATGTTTGCGTGTTTTAGTTTGCTGAAATGGACTGAGATAAGGTTTTTTGGGGTGAAAGAAGTTTAGGTGAGTTATTTAACGTTTACTTACGCACTTTGGATTAGTTTGAAGTCTAATTCATGTTAATCGTATAAAATTCCATCAATAAACTTTGATACAGAGTTTTAGTAATTCAAAACCGTGGTGCTGACAACCTTGCTTGTATCTTGCTTATAACTGTCTTGAGTCCAAAGCGTACGCTGTAATGCG